TACATTATAATCTATTCAATATATTCAATTTATGTTCACTTTTGTTTTGTATGTTTAACTATAAACTTTGAAATAAAATATTGTTAATTAAATTAAACTAAATTATTATTAATTATGTGACTATAATATAAAGGATTTTAAATGTCGTTTACATTGCATGACATTAGTTATGGGCTACAACCGGCATTGAATGTACCCAGGTATAAACTTTTTACTCATTGCATTTACTTATTGCATTGAGTTTACATAGAGTTTTAGTTGAAATTATGAGTAATTGCCGGTTACTGGTTATGGGTTTGTATTGATTGAAAGCCATGTGATTATGAAATAACGAAACGTTTTGATTTAGTTTAAGTGTTTTTAATTAACGGAATGAGTGTTTGATTTGTGAAAAACAATGTCTAAGACATTGACCAACAATGAGATGGAAGTGTTGCGCGAAGACAATCAAAGACTGACCACTGAGTTGTCAATTGAAAAACAATTATCTGATTGTTTGGAAAAAGTTAGGGAAAAATCAATGGTTTTGATAAACAATTGTAATTGTAATCAAAATATTGAATTATTTCACGATTTGATTAAATATGAGAAAACGTATCACTCGTTGAAAAACACACAAAACGCTGATAACAATCAAATCAATACTAAATCAGGTATTCATAAAAATATACACAAATCGCTGTTTTAAACAATATTGTAATTTATATAAAATATTTTATTAAACAAGGATTGAATGGAAAACAGTTTTGGCAACTTTTAAGACACAAATTACCGCATCTGATCCCCGGCGCCGACACTAAGACACACCGGAGACCACTGCTGTCCCGCGATATGACTGACATCTCAACTGGTCATACCTTTACCGCCGGTAATGACATGATGGCCACCGATGCTATCAAAACCACTACCGATATCATTGAACCCAATGTCGTGTCCATTGACTTGAATCCCACCGAAAGTGAGAAACAAAACACATATCCAATAGTTTCCGGTATTTAACGGCAAATGACTTTCACGTCATTTAATATTTTAATTACATTTTTATTGCCATTTGTTTAGCAGACAATGGCCTCGAAGTCATGCCACCGATCGGTGACGATGGGACACAAGCGACGGATAATCAGTTTAAAACCAAACAAGAGATCATTGATATACTGGAGGACAGCGACAGCGAAGACACGGCCGTAACACCAGTCACTCCAACTGTTCCAACGACTACTGTCCACCACTACGGGAGTGCGTCCGTGACTGCTAATCAAACGGCTGATGTATGGCTACAAAACTCGTTAATAACTGAGCTGTTGAACAAACCCACGCGTAAGTCATTGGACACAAACAGCGCATCTCATCGCACGGCACCGGCAACTGATCCCGAAGTCTATCTGTGCCTCGAATGCCGCAAAACATTTACCACAAAACATGGTTTACAGACACACAACGATATGTTTCACCGGAAACCTATGGATCAGTTGCACGCGTCCGGTGATCAACAGTCGGCCGCTCAGATGGCCGGACACATCACCGCTGGCTTTGTTAAGGACTTTACGCCAATACCAGCCGTACATAACAGCAGTCAAAGCAACAGTAAATCTAGTATTGATTTGTTATTTTTATGTAATTATTTATTTTTATTAAATTATGGTTTCCGTGCAGACAATGGCACCAAAAAGCGGTCTCTAATGAGCGGAACTAATGAGACACAAGTGGTGGACAATGAGACCACACAAGAGATTATTGCACATAAGCACAAACACAGCACCGATAACGCCTATGCCTGCCATTGGCCCGGATGTGACTATAAGACCAATATTAAGGATAATTTGCGGTCTCACCAATTGGTCCACACCGATGATAGGCCCTACCCGTGCGAATGGCCCGGTTGTCACTATAGGGGCAAAAGTAATGCCTTTGTTAAACAGCATTTGATAACTCACAGCACAGAGCGGTCACTGACCTGTGATTGGCCCGAATGCGGCAAAACATTTAAACGACGGCATCAGCTAAGGCAACACCAAGTGCTTCACTCGGGACCGCAGATACCGTGCGATCGCAAGGGCTGTGCCTTTAAGACCAAACATATCGGCGCTCTTAAGACACACAAACGACTCATACATAAAGACGTTTAAAAGCGGTGTATTTTGTGTGTCTATTGGGATGTGATTTACTGATTAATGGATGTGATTAGTGGTCGCTCAAGACATAGGATCAGTTGAACAATGATTAGAGAACAATATTTTTGTTATATTAATATTTTAATGCATTCCCGTTATCCATAGGCTGTGGTGTCTGTTCTTCGCTGCCATTGTCTATACAAAAGAATTGAGATTTTAATTGATTTAGAAATACTATTTTTAGTGCAAATTTATTTGTCATTAAATACAGGAAATTATTGAATAAAAGTTTTATTTAACACTTTTTTAAATTAATTATACAACTGTATGAACAGTTGTTTTGACATTAACTTTAAGCACTTCATCGTTGACTACTTATGAAATGAAATCATTTTCTTATAACATATAACAATAGTTTTTCAAATACCAAGTCTTTGGTTGTCTTCGCGCAACACATCCAACAAGTGGTTGACATTTACAGTATTTCAGACATTAGTTTTCAATAATAAAAATAATCTGTGATTTAATTACAATAATTAAAAGTTAAAACTTTTAATCACATTAATTCTAATCACTTGTATGTCATTCACATTATAACAGATAACATGAATAGAAACAGAAAAAGTTGTGCCACACCTGACAAAAACGTTACCTTTTTTAAGCATAACACAATGCAATACTGACCCCATGTTTCTTATGTTGGCTATAAAAAAAGCCCAAAAGTTTTACCTTCACATAAACTTTGGACTCCAAAATGGTTTACTGTTTGTTATGTAAGAAACAAAGAGTTAGTATTGCATTGTGTTATGCAATAACGGATTGGATTAACTACATAAGGTAACATGGGTTTTCATACATGTGCCATACATTTTCTATGTGTTTCATCATGTTTTATGTATAGGTATAAGTGATTGTATAATATATGCTTAGAAAGTTTATTCCAATTTAATCTTGATATTAATTACTAATTATAATCACTTATTATTGAAAAGCAATGTTTGAGACAATAGTTATGAGAGATCTGATGGATGTGTCGCTCGAAGACAAAGAAAAACATCACAAAGAGTTTGTATTTGAGAGACAATTGTGTGAAATAATTATTTCGTTAACAAAAAGTTTTGATTTAGTTTTTGTTTAGTTTTTGTTTAGTTTTAATTGTTTTTAATTAACGGAATGAGTGTTTGATTTGTGAAAAACAATGTCTAAGACATTAACCATCAACGAGATGGATGTGTTGCGCGAAGACAACCAAAGACTGACCAAAGAGTTGTCAATTGAGAGACAATTATCTGATTGTTTAGAAAAAGTTAGGGAAAAATCAATGGTTTTGATAAACAATTGTAATTGTAATCAAAATATTAACATTAATCACGAATTGATTAAATTTAATACAATTTATCACTCGTTGAAAGGCATGCAAAATGTTAACACAATTCAAATCAGCGCTAAATCAGGTTATTATTTGTATTAACTTTTTTAAATAATTGGTTTTTAAACATAAACCACCGCTTTATTGTGTTTACAAAATATTGATTTAATTAATTGTTTTATTTTTATTTTAAAAAAAACAATATCTAAAGTACTCAACGATTTGATAAATGTGTTGCGCGAAGACAATCAAAGACTGACCACTGAGTTGTCATTTGAGAGACAATTGTCGGACTGTTTGGCAATAATTAGACAAAAATTATTTGTTTTGATAAACAATTGCAAATGCAATGGAAATATTGACAAATTTCGCGATTTGATTGCATACGAGTATCACTCGTTGAAAAACATACAAAACTCTAATAACAAACAAATCAATACTAAATCAGGTATTAATAAAATTACCCTAAAAACCCACAGATAAGCCCACCCGCGTATAAGCCGGATAATAAAATTTTGAAAGTAAAATGTTCCCACAGATAAGCCGGTACCTATGTATAAGACGATTTTATACAGGGCAATTTTTAAAACTTATGGACATTATTAANCTATGTATAAGACGATTTTATACAGGGCAATTTTTAAAACTTATGGACATTATTAATCATTAGTTTTTATATAAGTATACAGAATGCAATGGTTACACTACTCGTAGTTAATTCATATAATTCATGAAACATTATAAAATTGCCAAGTTATAAAACAGAAATTTAATAAAAAGGCTGATACAATCTGTAAACCAATCTCTTGATTAATTGTTTACATTTAGTGTTATAAACTTTTTTACTCTATATTATACTGTATATTAAGATTTCGGGAATGTAATCATATTCATATGAAACAAAGTACAATAATCATTTTATATATAAATAAGCAATTTGGAAATATGAATTGAAAATTGATAATAGGAATTGTAAATATAAAGCAAACTTTATAACTTTATATGCGGAACTATAGCTAGGCTGAACCCACAGATAAGCTCTAAATTGTCTGTATTTTGTAATTAAACTATCTTAATAAATATAATTATTTAAATTTTAAATTAAAATCGTTTTTAATTAACATATTTTATGATTAAATATGCCCAAAAATTATCCGAACTCACAGATAAGCCGATTCTCTAATTTTTTCATAAAATACACTTTTTTCATCAGATAAGCCGCGGCGTATCTGTGGGTTTTTAGGGTATACACAAATTACTGTTTTAAACAATATTGTAATTTATATAAAATATTTTATTAAACAAGTCGACGGCACGGACTCTAATAACACGGCAGTCAATGCGCCAACCGTTCAATTAATGACCCGGACTTCTGCCGACCAGTCGTTGACTTCCGGCACCCCATCTATGGCTTGCAAGACAGAAAACGGGTCGCACTTGAGTCAGGTCGAGCGTATGGCCGATTTGGTGGTCACCCGACTACTACACACGGCTAGTGATCACCCGCAGTGTCCGCTCCAGAGTTGCACCGATTTGGGTGAATATATTGGAACCGAGTTTCACTACATGAGTGAACTGATGCGGCGGTCGTGCGGCCATAGCGTTGGGATCAATTGCCAGTGTCTGTCATCACCACCACAACAGACATTCAGTCTTCCAGTACGCGATATAACGCCGGCGTCCGTACGAGTCGAGCGGAATAGGAGGTCAGACACTGGCCAACGGCCGCGTATGGATCGCTCGGCTTTCGGTCACGGCTTTGACTACTGGTGTTCGTGGCCGGGCTGTGACCGCGCCTTTCAAACCAAGTGTGCACTTCGTGACCACTACGAGACCACTCATGCGGCCAACCGGTTGCCAGTGTATGCGTGCCGTTGGCCCGGATGTGACTATAAGACCAATGATAAGCATGGGTTAGTGAAGCACAGCCATGGCGTACCCGAAGCCAAATCACACCATAAGATAATCGTCAGTAAGACATGGATACCGGAGACGTGTCATATGGCCAGCGATATCGATGGCCAACAGTTGTTCACTCCCGACGATATCAGTGAACCCAATCTTGTCATCGACTTTAATGGCACCCAAAGTGATGATCGAAGCGCTGATCCAATAGTTTTTGGTACTTATTGACCAAAATATAAACAATTCTTTTTCTGTTATAAGTATTTTAATGCTATTTCCCGGTCTCATAGATAGGCCGCCGCTGACAATCACAGGTCAAGTCACGGCACCGGCAACTGATCCCAAAGTCTATCAATGCCTGGAGTGTCCCAAATCATTGCCCACCAGAAGAGGCTTAGAAATACACAACGGTTTGCGTCACAGAAAGACACGCAATGGTCGGCTCAAAAGGTATAGATGTCTTCGCGTGGACTGCAGGCGTCGGTTCGTATCGCTGGACAAACTACGCGACCACGCGGTCAGTGTTCACCAGCGGCGGCGGTATCCGTGCCCTTACGACAGGTGCGGCCGATCGTACGCCACCACAGATGGCCTTCGGGTTCACACAATTGTCTGTCACCGAAAGCCCAGCGCCCGTACTATTGGTAGCGATTTGTTAGACACGGACTTCGGCCCCAACAACACCGCCAACAGTGGCCGCCATATATCACACGATAAGCTAATCAGCGCGAAGACGCGGTCACCCGAAGAGTGTCTGTCGCCCAGCGATATGTGTGCTCAACAATTGGCCACCAATGACGACGACGACAGCGACGATACCATTGAACCCAATCTCGTCATTGACTTAAATGGTTCCCTAAGTGATGAACAAAGCGCTGATCAGCAAGTTTTTAGCTGCAATGACGGCCATAAAGTGGCGGATCAGCTAAAGATACGGCTAAATAGGCACGAAGAAGATACGCCGCCTCTGACGATGACAGGTGATTCCTTTCACCGGAAACCCGTGGATCAGTTGCACGCGTCCGGCGATCAACAGTCGGTCGCTCAGATGGCCGGACATATCACCGCTGGTTTTGTTAAGGACTTGACGCCAATACCAGCCGTACATAACGGCAGTCAAAGCAACTGTAAATCTAGTATTGATTTGTTATTTATATTTTTATGTTTTATTTATTTAAATTAAATTATGATTTCCGTGCAGACAATGGCACCAAAAAGCGGTCTCTAATGAACGGAACTAATGAGACACAAGTGGTGGACAATGAGACCACACAAGAGATTATTGATTTGCTCGACAGTGACAACGACTGCATTGAAGACACCACTAATATATCGTCGACAGCACAGTCGGTGTTGTTCAGCATTGTCTGTCCGGTGAACGCGTGCGGCAAACGATACCCAAATAAGAACTCTTTCAAGAACCACGTGATGGCCGCACACCCGGGCATAAACGTACCGATGACAGCACGCGTTAAGCCCTATCCCTGTCCGCGAATGGATTGTTTAAAAAGCTATCAATCGGTTCAATCACTGCAGCAACACATCCAGATCTACCACCGATTATCTACAGCACCGGCGACGACAACAATAACAACACCGGCGCCAAAGCCATCGCCGCAGCTGAAGCCCTATCCGTGTCCGCACGACGGCTGCGGTAAAGGGTTTGAATCCAAACAGTACCTCACTGTTCACGTAATGAGAGCACACTCTATGGCCACCGATGCTATCAAAACCAATAGCGATACCATTGAACCCAATCTCGTCATTGACTTAAATGATACCCAAAGTGTTGGAAAAGGTTTTGATCCAATAGTTGCCGGTATTTAATAGCAATAATAGCATAAAAATTGATTTAATGTATAATTTCATTTCATTTTTACCACTATTTTTTAAAGCTATACGGAGTCGGGCGGCTACTGGTGTTGTCCAAGTAATTGACATTAAGAAGCCGGTGACGGACACCGCAACTCTGGACGGGATCCAGTGTCCCGACTGTGGCAAAGACTTTAGTAACAAACATGCGATGCGTTTGCACTATAAGTATAAACACTCGCCGATTGGCCGCCAGCGAGTCTATGCCTGCCATTGGCCCGGATGTCACTATAAGACCAATGTTAAGAGCAATTTAAAAGTGCACCAATTGGTCCACAGCGAGGACAGGCACTACCCGTGCGAATGGCCCGGTTGTGAATTTAGGGGCAAACTTAAGAGCAATTTAAATGTGCACCAATTGGTCCACACCGATGACAGGCCCTACGCGTGCAAATGGTCCGGTTGTGACTATAGGGGCAAACGTAATATCTTGCTTCAAAAACATGCGCGCAAACACAGCACCCATAAAGCTTATGCCTGCGATTGGCCCGAATGTGGTTACACTTTCAAATACCGGGAAGGGCTTACAAGACACACACGGCTGATACATAAATGCCATTCATATAACCCTATTTAATAAGTTAATAAACATATAATTAATTTTAAAAAATGAATTATTATTAAAATATATTTTTATAGGTTTAGATTTTAATTAGATTTAATTAAATAACTAAACTTTATATGACAATGTTAAAACTTTGTATTCAATACAATCTATATTTAACTTTTTAAAATATCTATCAGTATATGAATTATACAATTAATGAGAGGGGATCATTAAAACCTTGACTTTAATTCAATTAATAAAAATTAAACAAAGATTTTAATTATAATTTTTAATTAAATAAAACATTTCAATCAATTAAATGCAGTTTGTTTGAAAAACTTTTTTATTGAAAATAATGTCATTGAAAAAGCAATACAACAGTTAATAAATAACATTAGGGTTTAAAACTATTGAGTGACAAAACTAATGGTATATTTGTATTGAATTATGATATAAAAGGTTTTAAATGTTGTTTACATTCCACGACATTAGTTATGGGTTTGAATTGTATTTGTATTGATTGGAATTGCATTAGCCGTCGAGTATATCAACGATCTGTGGTTTAGATGCCGTGTCAGTCATGTCGAGCCCGTTATCCATAGGCTGTGGTGTCTGTTCTTCGCCGCCATTCTCTATACAGAAGAATAAAGACTTTAATTCATTAAAAGATTGTATTTTTAGTGCAATTTTATTTGCAATTAAATACAGAAAACTATTGAATAAAAGTTTTATTTAACAATTTTTTGCACGACAGCTATCAGTTGTTTTGGCATAAGTCTTAAGCACTTCTTCGTTGATTACTTTTGAAATGAAATAATTTTCTTATATAACATGTAGTTTACAAATAGGAATTTAGGGACAAATCTATACCTGAATTAGCGTTGATTTGATTGTTGTTAACATTTTGTGTGTTTTTCAATGAGTGATAATTTTTCTCAAATTTAATCAAATCGTGAAATATTTCAATATTTTGATTACATTTACAATTATTTATTAAAATTAATGATTTTCTATAATTAATAATTATTAATTATTTACTAAACGCTGAGACAATTGTCTCTCAATTATAAACTCTTTGGTTAGTCTTTGGTTGTCTTCGCGCAACACATCCAACAAGTGATTGACATTTAGTCCAGACATTAGTTTGTAATAATAAAAACTTATCAAACATAATCTGTGATTTAATTACAATAATTAAAACTTAAAACTTTTAATCACTTGAATGTCATTCACATTATAACAGATAACATGAATAGAAATATACAAAAGTTGTGCCACACCTGAAAAAAGTTGCTTTTTCAAGGTAATCCGTTATTGCATAACACAATGCAATACTGACCGCATGTTTCATACGTTGACTATAAAAAGAGCCCAAAATTTGTACCTAAACTTCACATAAACTTTGGCCTTTGAAAAATGTTTTACTGTTTGTTATGTAAGAAACAAAGAATTAGTATTGCATTGTCTGATGCAATAAACGGTTAAGTTAACTACATAAGGTAACTTGCGTTTTCATGTAATGTGATTGTATAATATATGCATAGAAAGTTTATTTAAATGTAATCTTGATATTAATTAATTATTGTAATCACTTATTATTGAAAAGCAATGTCTGAGACAATAGTTATGAAAGATTTGTTGAATGAGTTGCGCGAAGACAATGAAAAACTTCGCAAACAGTTTGTAATTGAAATACAATTGTGTGAATGTTTGGAACAAATTAAGGATAAATCAAGGGTTTTGTTAGACAATTGTAATTGTCTTCAAAATATTGAATTATTTCACGATTTGATTAAATTTAATAAAATGTATCACTCGTTGAAAGGCACGCAAAATGTTAACACATATGAAATCAACGCTATATCAGGTATTTATTTATATTTACTTTTTTAAATGTTTAGTTCTTTAACTTTAATTGTTTTATTTTTATGTAAAATAATGTTCAAAGGATTCAATGATTTAATGGATGAGTTGCGCGAAGACAAGCGAATACTTTGCAAAGAGTTGTCATTTTTGCGACAACTTTGCGAATATTTGTCAAATTTTAGACAAAAATCAATGGATTTGATAAACAATTGTAAATGCAATCAAAATATTGAAATATTTCACGATTTGCTTAAATGTGAGAAAAATTATCACTCATTGAAAAACACACAAAACTCTAATGAGAAACAAATTAATACTAAATCAGGTATTCATAAAAATCTACACAAATTGCTGTTTTAAACAATATTGTAATTTATATATAATATTTTATTAAACAAGGAGTGAATGCAATCCAATTACCGGATGTGATGGCAGGCGTCCACACGAAGACACTCCGGACACCGCTGTTGTGTCGCGATATGAATGCCAACACAACTGGTGGTCATATTATTGCCACCGATGCTATCAAAACCAATAGAGATATCATTGAATCCAATGTCTTCATTGACTCGAGTGTTAAACCCAACACTTATCCAATACTTTCCGGTAATTATTAATACAATAAAAATTACATTTAATAAAAATTTTAATCATATTTTTACAGAAAATATGACACAAGAAATGGATAAACCGTTGACAACACCGCAATCGATCAGTGATATAACCGACGGCACGGACTCTAATTACACGGCAGTCAACGCGCCGGCCGTCCAATTAATGGCCCGGACTTTTGCCGACCAGCCGTTGACTTCCGGTTCCACGGCTTGCGAGACAGAAAACGGATCGAACTTGAGTTCGGTCGAGCGTACGACCGATTTGGTGGACAATATTAGCCGCGAATATGACCGGCGGGTATCAGAAGTGGTGAAACAAAGTTATCGGTTTTCGCACGCGGGCTTCCTTCAGTTCCCATCGAGACATCTTTGTAAACACAGGACTAGTACTCACCCGCAATGTCCGCCACAGAGTTGGACCGATTTTTGCAAAGATATTAGACCGGAGTTTCACTACATGAGTGCAGCGATGCGGCGGTCGTGCGGCCATAGCGTTGAGATCAATTGCCAGTGTCTGCCATCACCACCACAACAGACATTCAGTCTTCCAGTACACGATATAACGCCGGTGTCAGTACGAGTCGAGCGGAATAGGGGGTCAGACACTGGCCAACGGCCGCGTATAGTTCGCTCGGCTTTCGATCGCGGCCTCGACTACCGGTGTTCGTGGCCGGGCTGTGACCGCGCCTTTCAAACTGAGTGGGGAATTCGTAAACACTATGAGACCACTCACGCGGCCGACCGGTTGCCGGTGTATGCGTGTCATTGGCCCGGATGTGCGTTTAAGACCAATGATAAGCATGGGTTAGTCGAGCACATCGTCGAATCACACAATAAGATAATCGGTGCAAAGACACGATCACCTGAAGAATGTCTATTGCCCAGCGATTTCTATGGCCAACAGTTGTCCACTCCCGACGATATCATTGAACCCAATCTCGTCATCGACTTTAATGATAGCCAAAGTAATGATCCAAGCGCTGATCCATTAGTTTCCGGTACTTATTGACCAAAATATAAACAATTGTTTTTCCGTTTTAAGTAGTTTTTATACAATAATTTCAATGCTTTTTAATTTCTCGGTCTCATAGATAATGGCGCCGAAGACGATAGGCCGTCGCCGACAATCACCTCTCAAGACACGGCACCGGCAACTGATCCCGAAGTGTATCGATGCCTGGAGTGTCACAAATCATTCCTCACCAGAAGAGGCTTAGAAGTACACAACGGTATGCGTCACGCGATCGCACGAAATGGTCGGCTCAAGAAGTATAGATGTTATCGCGCGGACTGTAGGCGTCGGGTCGTATCGCTGGACAAACTATACGACCACACGATCAATGATCACGCCCGTACTATTGGTGCCAATTTTTTGGACAAGGACTTCGGTCCCAACAACACCGCCAACAGTGGCCGCCATATATCGCACGATAAGATAATCGGCAAAAAGACGCGGTCACCCGAAGAGTGTCTGTCGCCCTGCGATATGAATGGCCAACAGTTGGCTACCGATCACGACGACGACTACGACTGCGGCGATACCATTGAACCCAATCTCGTCATTGACTTGAATCCCACCGAAAGTGTTAAACAAAACACTCATTCAATAGTTTCCGGTATTTAATAATAAATAAATTACATTTTTATTATAACTTGAATCGCATTTCTCAGCAGACAATCGCATCGATGAGACACAAGTGATGGCCATTGAGTCGACACAAGAGATCATTGATATACTCGACAGCGACGACACTGAAGACACCAGCGATACAATGGACAGCCAATCAGGTGTCGCGGTTCACAAGCAAACCTCTGATAACAGTTCCCACAATCCGTTAATATACTCTCAGTCGAGGAATAACATGGGCTACACATTGACCTCATCTCAAAATACGTCTCCCTCGCGATGGGTTTCAAGCGCTGTTCACTACCAGTTGTCCACCGGTTCCCGAGCGCCGGTCGGCTCAGTCCCATCAGCCGCTGTCCGCGTTTGTCCGATCCATTCGTGCGGTCTATGCTTTTACAACATGTATCAGCTCCGGGCGCACGTCAATGGCCAACACCCGGAAGCGGTAGCGTTGCTCTCATTGTTACCGAAACGGTTCCCGTGTCCGGCCGTCGGATGCGGCAAATTGTTTGCATCCAAACAGTATCTAAACGTACACATCGGGACGGCTCACACGGGACTAACTGTGGCCCTCTCGAAGCCATACTCGTGTCCGGTGCGCGAGTGCCGCAGCAGAGGTTACTCATCGCTGACAAGCCTTAAGCAACACATCAAGAAGTGTCACACACCGTCATCGGCGGTGCATTCCATGGTTTAACACTTCGCTCGTGATTATCTCATGAAAATATTTGCCAAACAGCTCTCTCTCTCTCTCTCTCTCTCTCTCTCTCGACTATTTGTTAATTTCTTATATAATTATAATATTTTTAAATTTAAAACTAATATTAATGTGATTAATATAAATATCTAGATGTGATTTCAAATGCCAAATATTATCAAACATTGTATTCAATCCTACAGTTATACCTCAATCATAACCTATCACTTAATTGTTTAAAATACAATTATAAGTTTCTCATTAATATAGCCATTAATACATTAATTTAATTATACATTTAATAAAATTTAAAAAAAACTATTAAAATAAATACAATTATTTTAATAAAACTTTTACATAAGAAATAAATTAATAACTTATTTATATAGATAACGTTAAAATTATATGCCGTTGTTGTGACAAAACCAATGGTATATTAGTATAGAGTTGTGATATAAATGGTATTAAATGTTGTTTACATTTGCGGACAGAAGCGAAAGAATAGTTTATAAATTATAATTTTTCTCAAATTTAATCAAATCGTGAAATATTTCAATATTTGGATTACATTTACAATTGTTTATTAAAACCAATGATTTTCTATAATTATTTGCCAAACGCTGAGACCATTGTTTTTTAAATACCAACTCTTTGGTTAGTCTTTGGTTGTCTTCGCGCAACACATCCAACAAGTGGTTGACATTTATTTTAGACATTAGTTTTCAATAATAAAAACTTATTAAAAATAATCTGTGATTTAATTACAATAATTAAAACTTAAAACTTTTAATCGCATTAATTCTAATCACTTGTATATCATTCACATTATAACAGATCACATGAATAGAAATATACAAAAGTTGTGCCGTACTTGAAAAAGTTGCCTTTTATAAGGTAACCCGTGATTGCATAACACAATGCAATACTGACCCCATGTTTCTCAGGTTGGCTATGAAAAGAGCCCAAAATTTTTACCTTCACATAAACTTTGACTCCAAAATGTTTTATTGTTTATTATGTAAGAAACAAAGGATTAGTATTGCATTGTGTTATGCAATAAAGGGTTGGGTTAACTAAATAAGGTAACTTGGGTCTGACATTGCATACATTTTCTATATGTTTCAGCATGTTTTATGTATAGGTTGTGCATAAATTATTGAAAAGCAATGTCTGAGACAATAGTTATAAGAGATCTGATGAATGTGTCGCTCGAAGACAATAAAAAACTTCGCAAAGAGTTTGTAATTGAGAGACAATTGTGTGAATGTTTGGAACAAATTAAAGATAAATCAATGGATTTAATAAATAATTGTAAATGTATTCAAAGAATTGAAATATTTCACGAATTGATTAAATTTAATAAAATGTATCACACGTTGAAAGTCATGGAAAATGTGGACACAATTAATATCAACGTCAACTCAGGTATTTACTTATATTAACTTTTTTTAAATAATTAGATTTTAAACATAAACCACTGCTTTATTGTGTTTACAAAATATCGATTTAATTAATTATTTTATTTTAATGTTTTATATTTGCAATTAATTATGTTTTGTTTGTTGTATGAAAAGCGATGTCTGAGACAATTGTGATCCACGACCTGTTGGATGAGTTGCGCGAACTCAACGAAATACTCCGCAAAAAGTTGTCATTTAAGAGACAATTAAATGAAATGTTAGAAAATATGAAACAAAAATCATTGGTTTTGATAAACAATTGTAAATGCAATCCAAATATTGAAATATTTCACAATTTTATTAAATATGAGAAAAATTATCACTCATTGAAAAAAACACAAAACTCTAATAACAAACAAATCAATACTAAATCAGGTATTCATAAAAACATACACAAATTGCTGTTACAAACAATTTAGTAATTTATATAAAATATTTTATTAAACAAGGAGTGAATGCAAAACGGTTTTGGCAACTCTTAAGACACAAATTACCGCATCTGATGGCAGGCGTCCACACGAAGACACACCGGAGACCACTGCTGTCCCCCAATGTGAATGACATCACAACTGGTCATACCTTTACCGCCGGTAATCATATGATGGCCACCGATGCTATCAAAACCACTAGCGATATCATTGAACCCAATATCGTGTCCATTGACTTAAATCCCACCGAAAGTGTTAAACAAAACTCATATCCAATTATTATCGGTATTTAATGACTTTCACGTCATTTAATATTTTAATTACATTTTTATTGCCATTTATTTAGCAGACAATGGCCTCGAAGTCCTGCCACCGATCGGTGACGACGGGACACAAGCGGCGGATAATCAGTTCAAAACCAAACAAGAGATTATTGATATACTGGACGACAGCGACAGCGAAGATACGGCCGCAACACCAGTCACTTCAACGGTTCCAACGGCTACTGTCCACCACTACGCGAGTGTTAATCAAACAGCAGATATCTGTTTACAGACACACAACGGTATGTCTTACCGGAAACCTATGGATCAGTTGCACGCGTCCGGTGATCAACAATCGACGGCTCAGATGGCCGGACACATCACCGCTGGTTTTGTAAAGGACTTGACGCTAATACCAGTCGTACATAACGGCAGTGAAAGCAACGGTAAATCTAGTATTGATTTGTTATAATTATTTTTGTGTAATTATTTAATTAAATTTTGGTTTCCGTGCAGACAACGGCACCAAAAACAGGTCTCTAATGAGCGGAATTAATGAGACACAAGTGGTGGACAATGAGACCACACAAGAGATTATTGATTTGCTCGACAGTGACAACGACTGCATTGAAGACACCACTGATATATCGTCGACAGCACAGCCGGTGTTGTCCAGCATTGTCTGTCCGGTGAACGCATGCGGCAAACGATACCCAAATCAGTACCACTTTAAGAACCACGTGATGGCCGCACACCCGGGACTAAACGTGCCGCTGTCCGCACGCGTTAAGCCCTATCCCTCTCCGCGTATCGATTGCTTCAAAAGCTATCAATCGGTTCAGTCACTGCAGCAACACATCCAGACTTACCACCGATTGTCTACAGCGCCGGCGACGACGACAACAACTTTTGAATTAGCCACTAATCCACGGAATCCGCCGCTGACGATTACAGGTGAAAACACTGTACCGGCAACTGATCCCGAAGTCTATCAATGCCTGGAGTGTCACAAATCATTCCTCACCAGAAAAGGCTTACAAACGCACAACGGTTTGCGTCACACGAAGTCACGGAATGATCGGTTCAATAGGTATCGGTGTAGTCGCTGTAG